CCATACTCTTTGTGATATGTTCGAAGCAAGTGCTTGTTGTTCGGCTTTTGATGTCACCATAGCGAGCTTAGACCCCATAGCTTCACAGGCAGATTTTGCAGCGGTCCAGTGCTGTGATAGTAATTGACTGCACGCTAATATGAAGGGGTATTTGCTTAACTTCCGTTTGTAATTGTGAAGGGTGTTCGTAGTAATATCTTCAATAGCGGCTTAGAGGATGATACCCCCATCAATAATTCCTCCAGCATGTTTTTATTTTCATTTTTGCATGTCAAAATTACGTCTAATCCTTTTGTGAAAAAAAAAAAAAAAAAACGTACCCAGTAAGAGAAAGGCTGCATATGAGACTACAGGTGCTACCTGCTGCTGTCTGTAGGTGAGTCTTGCTGATTGCTAGACATTATTGCATTGAAACCTCTCCTTTGGGAAGCCTCTATTCATGGAACACCTCCATTCAGGGGACACAAAATTTGGTCCCGGAAAAAAACTTCCACATAATCTTTGAATGTGTTACCGCTATTGAAGGGACACCTCTTTTCAGGGGAGAGGAACACATTTTCTGGGTCCCAAAACCTGGGTTGACCTCCATTCTGGGGACACTAAGCACTCAAAACATGACTTATCACAAAGAGGGTTGATGTATTTTAGAGTACACTAATCCCACTGCATTAAGGGCATGTTGCGGGGGTTTCTTGAAGGCATCAAGTCTGACAACAAGCAAAAATGTTGGTGTTGAAGAGTGCCATTTATTTTAACTTGTGTTTCTCAAAAAGTACATAGAACAAGAAAATTATGTATAGTACAAGAACTTTTTAGGAGTGGTTACGTCTTATAAGCTTTCCTATCACACAGCTGCTATTCTAGGAGGGTGGAAGATCCTGGTACCAGGAAAGATACTGGAAAGCTGGGACAACTTTTCGTTCGGTAACTTACTTGCAGAAACTGCGGTCCGTGTGGTGCCCAAGTAGAGAAGGAATTAAAAATTGAGAGAGACAAAAACAAAAGTGCAGTTTGGGCCCTTGGCCATTTTCAGGGTATATTGCAACTCGCTTCTTAATTCAGGTTTGAATGCCGAATACACTCTCTTGCTGTCTTATTTAGTTTTTCTTTCTCTTGTTTCTCTGGTTTGTACTCAGCATTTACTGAGACGTTTACAGTACAATCACCTACAATCACCTGTTCTATTGACTCTACTTTTTCATTAGACTTGATCACTCTGTAATACATTTTTTGTACTAAATGTGAAAGCTACAAAGGCTCACGCTATCCTTGTACTTTTGTTTACAACAAACAAGTTAATAAATCTCAGGTAAGAACTGAAGGAAGACTGATAATAATAATAGGCAAAACGATCTTACAACTCATCTAAATTCGTTACTGGCTTGTTATAACTTAGGCTGCAGAACGGCCGTCATTTTTCCCCTTTTTTGGAAGAAAGAAACACAAAGCGAAGTTGGAGCGCTAGACACGCAGTCACGCGATTAGGGAAGGCGAGGACTTTTTTTTTCTGTTAATTTCTCTCTCGAGCGCGGTTGTCTGCCGCTCCTCGCTCGCTTCGCGCTAGCCATCGCTCGCTGAAAAACGCTTAAGTTATGGTAGACGCCAAACAGGGAGTAGACAAGCCAAATACCGTGAGAGTTTAACTCATCTCAATCTTTGATTTTTATTTGCTCTCGTTTTACAGTTCTGAGAGTTGACGTGCATTAGAATGGCTTTCTCGATATATCTTGTGCAAGTGTTGAGTCCAAGAGCTTTTAATCACTTCATATGAATTATGTCATACAGTACAAGGAACATTCGTGGCCCGACAGGTGAAAACTTTCACTTGATTTAACCGATATCGATCTCTCCATGTCAGGCAATAAATGTACCTTGAAGAGTGTAATCGCCACACAAATCTCATGTATTGAAATTAAATCCGTCCCGTGTATATATTTGATAAAGTAAAAAGTCTCACATGTATAAATTCAAAGGGGATTAAGGTTATGGCGAATAAAGCATCGAAATTATAAGTTGCGAAGAGTCGACGTACAAAGCCATCCTTTGTTTTTGTGTTTTTCTTTTTGTTTGTTATTTTTTTCTCTAAAATTGGTCCTGAGATTCCTCTTTAGAAATTTTTCCGGATGATAATTTCATCTTTTGAAATAAGGTTGGTATGCCGAATACACTCTCTTACTATTTTAGTTTCTCAGTTATTGGTAGGTATACTGAATTTTACATTTAGCCACTTTCCATTTTATTGTTTACATACAATATTAAGCTTTTTCTTCGCGTATAGATGATCCTGCTTAACTTATTTCATCATAAGACTTTACTCGATCTGTGATCCATATATATATTTTTTGGGACTAAGAAAAGTTGCTCTCTGCTATAAAAACAACGTCTTGTACTTGAGCTTACAATGCAACAAACAAGTTAATAAATCTCAGTTAAATACAACGACGACTAATAATTAGCAAAACATTGTCGAACTTACTAAAATTTGTTACAGGCATTTAATGATCATTACTGGCACTAGAACATTTCGCAAAGGCGTAAGTTCCTTTATTTTTTCCCGATGGGTAAAACTGAAGTTACTGCTGCGCGACTGAAGATTTTAATGATTATTAGGGTTAGAGCCCGTGTCACAGGACTTTAGCATAGGCTATTTTCACGCTAAAGCGGATAGCGTTTCTTTGGTGCCCATATGAAAAGCTGGGTATACTGTGAACACAATTCCATTATGCGATTCTCCACTTTAGAGATCGGGAAAGCACAGCTTAGCTCCGTTATAGAAATCGCCCTAAAATCACTGTTTTTAACGTGAACAGAGGCCCTATCCGGTATGGTTTTCTTTCCAGCGCAAAAGCTATCCGGTATATTGTGAACATAGCCTTTAAGCCTTAAGGTGTTCCTGGCTCAATCAAACCTGGAATGTGCCGTGAGTTGGGACGCAGCCGAGAGGGGAGGGACGCGCTCACCCTTCCTAGACTTTATCTTGCGACGACTACAGGGCAAGAGGGAACGCCTAGGGACTAGCCTGACTAAACTTTAGGTCACACTTTCACACCTGCAAATATGACCCTCAGTTACATTACCTGACTGCATTTCGTAGCCAGATCTCCCGCGGCCAAGACAGGTGTGAAATCTGGGTACGAGATTAGGCACCACAAGTCCTAGTATTTTTAGGTTGGAGTCACGTGTGACGCATGCGTAATAGCTCGCTCTTTAAGCATGATGAAGCGTTCCTATAAATGAAATACCTAATTAAAACTCATACCAGTATTAGTAAAGCACCTCTTACTTTTCTAAAGCTCATGAATAAAACTTTTCATAGGATTAAATGCTTGATCATTAAAGTGAATAACTCAGTTTATGTTGCAATGGTTCCCGATTGACCCTATCTCACAAGTTGAAATGTGCAGTGTACGTACGTTTCTCCGTTTTGGCCTTTCGTCCACAAGAAAACGGGTTTTGAAGGCACCAAAAAAGCCGCAGGTTTCAAAAACGGCCTCCAGGGTATATTGTCCAGAGTGGAGATTTTGGAAAACACCGGCTTTTTGTTTACGTGTGGACGGACGAAAAATTGTTACGATCATATAAAACATCATAAACACTGTACTACTAGCATTCCGCATGCTCGATAAGGCATGCTATAGGGATGTTATCAGATCATTGTATTTCCATCGTGTTAGCGTTTTTACCTAGACGGGCGAAAACGATTCATATACGCTAAGTGTAAACGCAAAAAAAAAAGGAAAATGGAAAAGTCTCCGTTTTCAAAAATATCCAAACCGTGTGGGCGAAGCGTAAATGATACGGTAAACATGATCTGGATTACGGATTGGAGACTGGTCTATGTCGCGCCGTCGACAGGCCTGTGTTTGCCACCATTTTTGCACCAAAGCGATTGAAATAAACCTGGAAAGTCTACAATCGCTAGCAGTTCAAATATCTGCCTTTGATGTCAAGGAACGTCTGAAAACGTTAGACACAGACAGAGGTCCGATCGTGTCGCAGACCGTTGCATACCGTTCAGATTAACGACGTAACGATCCAAGGACAGCGATGGCGGCAAAAAGTCAAAAATCAAAAGGTAATTACAGGCCGGTTTACCAATTTTCAACTGGCTGAAAAATTTAACCGGGGATATTTTCTAGAGTGTTCACAGTCCCCTATTTTTTTGTGATATCGTTTACATATGGCGCGTCTACCGTTAATGACGGCCATCTTGTTTTTCAAATGTACCAAGGGGGTGGGCGTCGGGGATTATAGCTGTAGGGGGAAGGGAGCGAGAAAAATATTTTCTTCCTTCCTCCCAAACCGCCCCTCGTCCCCTAAGTAGTTTTGACACTCATGCAAGATGGCTGCCCTTAACGCAAAGCGCTCGATCTCGACGATCTTTATACGGAAAAATAGAGGACTGTGAACAGTCTAGATATTTTCGCTGTGTACACAGGGAGGCTTTGAACAGCTAAGCGTCTAAATTTTTGTACGGTTACGATGATTGGATTGTGTGAACAGAACGGAACACCTGAACGTACGAATTCGGTGAAAAAAATTGGTCCGGTGCCGTTTGAACGTAGCATTAGCTAGAACTCCATTTTTACACGTGCACACGTGCATCACGCTCTTTTGTACATTTCTTTCCCATCACTACATGACTACTATGTGAAAAATGCCTAGTTTCACCTTTTAATGGAGGACGTAAACAAGCGAAGAACAAGTTTGCTTTCTTTTCCTAAACTTGGGTATAGTATTTAGAAATTCATATCGTCCAGGGGAGTTCACCTACATTTGACAAAATTGGTGAACATTGAAAGAAAGCGAGTTCAGTTTTTAAGCGGCTTTCCACGGATTTTAAGGTCGATCGATCCCTACCTTATACATAGTGTTCAAACTGTTGAGTCATTCGGATGCTCTCTGCTTTGCAATAGCTCTTAACTAGATTTTTTGGGAGGTTATATGTCTTTGATTTCAAACGGTTGCGCCCCATGGAAATCGAGGGGACTGAACAGGACTCAAGTCAGATAAAATACCTCAACCTGTTCAGGTGAAAACCGATAGGTTCCAGCCAGGATTGTTAAACGGTTTGTAACTCCATTTGGAAGAGAGTATGAGAAGCCAAAACTAGTGTAGGAATTGTTATTCTGATTGGCATTATCAGCAATGTGTATGTCATACCCCGCACCAAATGTTGGACCCAACGTAATGTTAGAACGATTAATATTAAAAATTGCAGATGATGATCTTTTCTGTTTTACCATGCACTTGAATGGTGCAAGTTTTTCCTTGTCCACCAGAGAGAAAATAAACGACTTGGAAGTAGTAACGTATAAATTCCCAGACGCTAGAAAACAATAATAAACAAAAAGGAAAAATTAAATTATAATTTCGGTTTTAACCAGCTGACATTTAACACTTCCTCCCCGGGAGGGAAGAGGGTAATCGACCAATATTTGCCTAGAGGTGAGCCGCTGAGGGTTTGAAACCCTGACTCTGCTTATAGGACAAAAAAAGAACTTAAAATACATAGCCTGTTTAGGACAAAAAACATGTACAGTGTTTAGGAAAGACTTGTGCGAAATTGTATACCCTGTTTAGGACAAACTCGGGCAAGTTATACACCCTATATAGGACAGACAGGACGAAAACCATACCCTGTCCAGCGGCACTTTCCCGTATAGGTCATATTTAACAAATATTCCTGGAGCCCTAATGGGCTCCGAGTCAATAGCCCGTAAGGCCAACGGCCGAATGGGCTATTGACTCAGAGGCCATGAGTGCGAGAGGAATAATTGTTTTAGTAAAATCCAACTAGTTGGTCAAAAATATCGAGACAAAACAACTGTAGCTAGCAAAACGCGATTCAGCCGCCATTATTTTGGTTTTCAAAGCCCGCGCTTTTCGCTACTAGTGGGCTATAACATATAGCCTAGTAGCAGCTCAACTAATCAGAAAGCAGCATTTATAATAGACCACTAGTCGGATTTTACGAAAAGGGATCCCGTTCCCGGAAATGCCCCACAAAAAACACCTCCTATATCATTCTATCTTCGGTTCAGCTGTGCGTTTGACGTCCTGTTGTTTGTTGACTGTGCGGGTAAACATGATCCGAAAGCCAGGTGTTGTTAATTACCACGGACTATCTCCTCTGGATTTACAAGCCACGCCAACGGAACGGTCATACGTAGACGATGTAAACCCGCGGTGAAAGGCTTTTTTGGCAAACTTAATTTCGCCACATTAGAAACAAAAAGGGAACTGGAGACGAAATGCGTACCGCAATTGTTTCTGGGATCGTTACTGTCCATAGTAACATTCCCAGAAGTCTTTGCAAAAGTTAATTGGATCCAGATTCCTTCTTGTTTCTAAAGCGCCGTTGTTAACTATTAACCAATGACTCATTAAAAATTCATAACAAAAAAAAATGCAAAGAGTGGAATAAGGTTAAAATCTTTACTAACTTCCGAGAAGCACGCCCCAAAGGGGGCAGGTGGATGAGTCCGCATGATATCCTTAACGCGGAAGGGTCTTTTCTCCCCACCCCCACAAATTTTAGGGCTGTTCATGATCCACAACGAAGGAATTTTTTTTTACTACAGGAGCTTCTGTTTCAGGCCCATTGTTTGAAATACAAGCTTAGCTGGTTATTCCCCGGTCGACAGAAGACAGTTCTTTAAGCAAGAGTCAGGCGGATATAGCCATGGGCTTATCAGTCTTTCATCCGCTATGTAATGGTTAAATAGAATACTCAAAAGAAAAGGCTATTGCGACGGCAACCCCTGTAGGTATTACAGGTACGTAAATGACACCCACTATTAAAAGACCTCTTTAAGTTTAATGTTTTTCCTAGCCTCCCACGCAGACGTTCTTAGAGGTTCGTCACGCGTTCCTGCCCCACGAACGTCTGCTGAACTGAAAGATAAATTCCTTTCCGATTGTTCGCAAACATCAGCTGGAGATCACATGCAGATTATCGGAGATCCAATCGGCGCTGTTGAAGTCAAAGTGTTGACAAGCCAAACACATACGTACAAGCTCTGTAGAGTGTGATACGTGACCAAAGATTTTTGCTCCTGACGAGAATATAGGAGATAAGCGTAGGCTTTTTGTATATTTCTCTCCGTAAAGGCTGGATTAGATGTCATTTGATCATAAAGTCGTTCTTTGGGTGATGTAACGGCGGGGTTTCTTTATAAGACTGAACAAAAGGCAGAATTTTTTTCACACGTAGTAATAGCCGACTTCCGTTCAGCAAATTTAACCTCCGTTCAGCAATTTTAACCTTTTTCAACGAGATTCTGATGGAAGCCACTAGTACGAACGCTTGTGAGTTAACTGAGTAGTTTGTTTTAAAACTGTAAGGTCCTCACCTTTCATGAGACCTTTCTGATCTTTTCTGGAGCTATAAAGTCAAGCACGAAATTTCTCAAGGTCCAAAGTGCATTTCTCAGATCTGGAAGTCTGCTGTGATTGGTCTACGTTTTTTTTTCGCTTAAGTCAGCAGTTCGTGGGGCAGGAACGCGTGACGAACCCCTAAGAACATCTGCGTGGGAGGCTATGTTTTTCCCAGTGAAGGTCCCGGGGGAATTTAACTGACTTTAATTCAACAAACCAAAACATACAACCTCCAGATGTCTACTGACCAAACCATATCAATACGCAAGTCAACGAGGTTAATATTTATCTCAAATGTCGTGACTTAGACATTAAACTATATAGTTAACTGTTGTTAGGGCCTTAATGTGATCGTAGCTAAAATGATTGTATTCACGTACGTACTGTGCGGCTCTAGTCAGTCTTTTTTTTTTTGCAACTAACTGGCCGCCTTTTTATGTCGAATACTGCATTCAATTTTGATATATTTCGCACAAGGCAATTTCAAGATCATTAAAGCTCCAATTGATTGGTTCTGGAATTGGTTACTTGTTTTATTTTAAGTCAAATTGAGCCTAAGCCCGCCAAGTTTGGTTTATTTAGGGGTTTAATATTAATTTTGCGGACTCCGTCTCTTTTATTGTCCCGCCCCCGGCGAAAAAGTCACTTACACCAAGGAATATCGGTGTATCCTCCGAACACGTACGGCTCTTTTCTGATGACTGTAATCGTATGTTTTTTCCCATCACATCTGCTGTGGAAGGTACTGGCAGCCCAGCCATGAGCGGAGGTCTGCCAACACAGCGCCCAGTTGCTGTCATTCCCAATCGCAGGCGAAAGAAACTGTGTTACCACAGTTGAGATAATATCTAAGGGTGAAAGAGAAAAATGGATTTTATTCGTTTCACAGTCGTGTAAATTTGCTGCGGCATTATATTTCCAGCTATCCGCGTGCACGAAACTTACGGGAAAACGTGTCGCAAATGTTTTAGGGATAACTTTCCTCGAAAGTATGTGCAGGCGACAAAGGGACGTCCATCAGGCCAACTCAAAAGGAGGACGAGGGGAACTTAATTTTGTAGTAAACCCTTTTTAGATAAGCACTAGCCTGCAGAAGAATCTACAATGCAGCTTATTTTCGGAATTTTACGGTATAATAAAAAAATAACGACAAATAGATATGTATACGTTAATGACCAAACTTGTTCGGCCAAGATAAATGCGTTATTATAGGCCAAGTCTTTTTTTTTTTCGGCATTTTCATGGACCAAGAGGAATTCGAGGTCAATAAAATTGCAAAACATATAATTATCCAGCGGACCCTAGAGCCTCCGGATAAAAACTTATGTTGGTATAACATAATATGACATTAACTTTGTCGGATGATGTCCATGATATAGGATCCATGTAGGATCGGATTTAAATTAACATTGATCCATATATTTATTAGTTATCAGCATTCAACAGCGTCCAACATTAAGTGTTTAAACGGGATATATAGTATGTTGCGTTTTGGCGTAAATGCAATGCAAATAGCAGCAACAAGTATCTAACCAATTTCGCATCGGTTGCCGGCAAATCCTGGAGGGCAACTGCAGTTGAAGCCATTGATTAGGTCGATGCAAGTTCCGTTGTTCAAACAAGTAATATTGACACAGTCATTTATATCTGCAGGAGAGAGGATCAAAGATATTAAAAAAAAAAAAAAGGAAATGTACCTTTCAGCTAAGGTACATTAGACTTCAGCAAGAGTCAAAACACAACTAGTAAATATAAATGTTGTTCTATAGGTTGATGGAGAAACGTGTCTATAAATAAGTCACTTTATCGATCAAGCAGGGAAATTGAAATTTGTGGTTGGGTATCTATAAGGAAAAGTAAAAGTTCAGCGTGATACTTATTACTTACTTTTCTTTCAAAGTAGTTTTTAAATCTTCTCGGTTAGATTTTTTTTATTTTAGTGAGCTCAAAGAAGTAAAAGTCAATGATATAATACCTAAAACCAGTACAAAAGCTTTATGCTGATTACCGTTCCCACTTGCAATTTGCGTTAATAGTGTGTCACCTGTGATTGTATTATAGTTAGCAGCAACATTGTTTCAACTCAGTATTTCTTACTCGTTTCGCAGTCTTTTCCGGTGAATCCTTTCACGCAGATACACTTATATCCATTTTCCTGGTACAGCGAAATGCATTTTCCTGTGTTCTTACAGGGGGAACTGTCACAAGGAGACTACACAAAGGAAAGGATACGGCTGTAAGTAAAGACCATTTCATGGCAAAGTCAAAATATCCAGTAACGTGACGCATATCATTTATCTATATTAGACGTATGCTGAATTTAAGGCAAATTCAGCTATTGACTTTCGTCGATCAACTTGAGCTCCAAGTTTTAGTTACATGTAGCATTAAGTAACACAATTATAATAATTCCACCTGCGGGTTGTTGGGTTTGGGTTGGCTATATCATCTCCATGGAACAGGTGCGAGTTGAATAATTGTTTTATTTAGCTAGTACAAATGCCCACAAAATATCGATGAATCTTCCGGACTTTATTTTGTTACTACAAATGAGAAAACGCAAGGCACTTCCACTTTTCAGGCTAGCAAACTGCTGTCATTAGTCATATCTGTGTCTAAGCGAACGGAATGACTGAATGAAAAAAAAAAAATAAAAATAAATAAATAAAACATCTTAGCGGTGAACACTTTCAAAAATTCATCAGGATTCTCCTTTCTCGGCACCTAAAATAATCGCAGATGATTTGAAATTTGAATTTCATTTTTAGCGCAGTTACAAACTAAAATTCCCTTCGGTTAGCATGCAATAAGCTTGTGTAATTAAATGAATTTAACTCGCTTGGTCATCAAATTATTTCAGCGAGCCGCCGGCTGGTTTTGCTGAACTAGAACAGAAGCTATATCTAATGCCTGCATTAATTGCCCCAGTGAGTGGGTTCACAGCCTGTTGTATTCTCAGCTAGTTGCTTCTGGTCAATGCATTCTTTTGACGCAGCCCAGGATGTAGGATGAACAGGCTGCAGATATATATCGGCGAGTGGCCTGACGATGGCATAAAGAGCCACTGCTTGGCCTCTGTCGTAGCTGGTCAGGATATCTTTTAAATGCATTTTTTCTGCGTTTTTCTATGAATTCTAATGAAACTCCATCTTATATTCCTTATACTTTGTAAATTTCTTCGTCCAATTAAATTGCATTTTCTTGCATTCTAAGAATTAAAACGTTTTTTTCTGGCACAATTCTTTCCTCCTGACTTTCAGTTGGCCTTTAAGGAGGCTGAACACAGTTTCTTTAGAAGTACTTTATCATTTTTATGCGAATGTTAACATTTTTATCAGGAGGAGATATGCAGCCAATAAGTGAACAAAGACTGGTTCGAAAATTATCTGCTTTTGTCGCCTTTGATATATACATGTAGCGTGCTTTCAACGAATGCTTAAGAGGCAGTCTCCCTAAAAGCGTTCCACTCGATTTTGGACTCGAAAAAACTTTTGCCTCATAATTTTACCATCAACACTACTATCCATCCTGATAACGAAATTGCAGTTAGAATGAGGAAATTGTTTATTTTACTGCCATTCCCACCATTTCATTGCTGGACGACCGTTAGCGGCTAAAATATGCAAACTTTAGTCTCTGTTATACAGGTTTTTTAACGATCGTTCTAAAGTTCTGCGGGTCATCAAATCCTAGACTATTGCACTCATTTGGAAGCTTATTACTTCTTCTTACTGTTCCAATACCGTTTAGCCGTTATCTTTCTGTAATCAGCAAAAACTGGTCGTCTTTATTTCGCTAATCCAATTAAGAAAGCAAACTGCACGAGAAAATGCCTCAAAAACATCTCAAAATTCTCAAAAGTGGCACCTAAACTAGACCTAAAAACATGTTTTAGTTAAAGATTAATAGCTATTTTGTCAAGTTATGCAGTAAAACTTGTGGCACAACGCGATTCAGAATTGAAGGTTTCAACTCAAATTTAGGCAAATGTTCAATTTGCGTTGCGTGACGATACCGGCTGCTGTCACAACAAAATCCTCAGTTATTCAAATACTTGCCACTTTTAAGTAAGGTATGCCTCATTTTCCCACCAAAACTAGATTAAAATTCCCTTTTTCCCTTTGCCAATGATACATATTGTTCAAAAATTAGTTCAGCAAGTAAAAGATACCTTTCCAAGCTTCATTTAATATTCCCACTGCCCCGAACATTCGTGTTAAGTCTGTTATGTCAAGACGGAAAAATACCTTTTCAGAACCAAACCTCTTCTAGCTTAAAATGTGGTCCAGTCTGAAAAAGCTGCATTGACCAGACGTTACTCCGATCCATCATATTATAAAATCGAACGTTAGAAGAAAAGTAAATTTCCCACTGCTTAATTAAATATGCGTGAACAGGTCAGAAAATGCTTGACTTGTACTTCGCCCCACGTAAGGGTATCGGGATTCCGGAAACTGGAAAATTTTTGCTTGTAGGATCCGGAATCCGGGAAAATTTTGATATGAAATCCGGAATCCAGGGCTTTGGAATCCAGAATAGAGCTGAAGCACCCTACTAAGGAATGAAATTCCACAGGAAAAGACTGGAATCCAGCACCCGGAATCCTGAATCCATGGAATGGGATCCAGAATCCACGACTGTCTTGTATTCGCTAACATGGGGCGATAGTACTGGACTGTGAACGGCGAGCCCATATTTGAAGACTTTGTTAATGAAATTTCAATTAGTAGGTTTCTTCCATTTCCTGACTGTATTGTCCTATTAACAGTGGTCAGCGTTTGTTTTCACGCTCCAGGAGACAGTCTGGAGTCTAAGGCTACTTTTGTATCGCAGCCAGTTAATAAAGAAGTTGGCACACGCAAATAATAAAGTTTCAACGTTAATTTCGAATCGTGCAACATCAGTGAAAGTAACAAGAAAATAAAGTGTGGAAGTTCACGCGTTTTTTCCAACTGATAAAAGTACACGATTGTCAGGACATCATTACTTCTTACCATGAAATGTGTCATCCATCGAAGTCTGAACTAAGTGAAGCCGACCCAATACTCTCAAAAGATGGTAATCATTGACCTTACGAAAAATCAAGTGGAACAGATGGTGATCTGCTTCCCCAGGAGGACTCCCATACAAAAGTGACGTGGGTGCTCGTCGTTTGCAGATTTTGGTCTCACTTCGGCTGTTTGGGACGGAAAGTACCTAAATATGCTCATTCAGGTATCACTTAAGGCTGTGCATAAAGAAATTTGCCAAAAAAAACGCGGTGACGCTGACCTCACAGAAATCTCCTTTAGGGGTCAGTTTAAGCTTGAGCCACACCCACCTTGGCCTCCCTTAGGGGTTTAAATAATAAATTATTAATTTTCCGACGAGCAGCCCTTCACTTTTATATGGAAGTCCTCCCGGGGATTACCCACAAATATCGGCATATAAACTCGGACGTTTTTGGCGGACACCTCGTATAGAGGACAAGGAAAGGAACATTAGGACCAAGGACAGGCATGTAATTGGTGTGGAGATTGCTAAGATCGTATACCATCTATTTTAAAGGATAGGATCACGTACGTATAAAATCATAAAATCATTGCTAATATCCTTATCACTAGTTCCTTTATCTGTGATAAGATAACGACAAAAGGGCCAATGGGTATTGTCATAATGGTAATTTCAAGTTCAGACAATGATAAACTCAGTAGTCCGCTCAATTGTTTTATTTAGAATTATGCGGGAAGTGAAGATCCAAACATAATGAAGTTATATATGGAGAAAAGTAGGAAGTGGCTTTAAGTCAAATATCCTGATATTAATCAGTGTTGCAGTATGGCATAAAGTTACACAGTCAGCTGATGCACTTGCACATTTGGTATCATTTATTTATGAGCTGACGGATTTGAATATCACGAGATACACGCGTGAAACAGAAAGTGATAAGCGCATATCTAAACCTAATTTGGAGTCGGAGTTAAATTGCCAAAATCGTGATTACCTACCTTTAGGCATATTACTGAGAGTACTCATGACAATTGTTTGGTACCATGGACTTCACCGACAGAATTTTCTATTGAAGCCCAACGTGGACAAAAACCTTTGAATTCGAACAATCAGTAGAGGTGAGAACTGACGTGAAGTCTGAATCCGGCATTGTCGAAGGTTTCCCCAGCATGAACATTTCTCCCGGTCGAGACCCCTACACTGTTTTTACGTCTTTTCTCGTCTCACGTCTTGTTAGCGGTTATTACCCTGTTCTTACAGACGCTTGCATTCTCCCACGTTAATGATGTAAAAATACATACATCTGAACAACAGCTGAAGGATCTAGGATCACATTTTTAAAAATCGGCCTTTGGACCCTCCGTGTGGATCCAAATTCATATTGATATCGATTTTACTAAATTAAGCGCCACCGCGTTTATCATTTCGTTTTTGCGACTCCAGTGCGGCACTCATTTGATGCACCAGCCTACGCGGACAATGTTGTTGAGCCACTCAGAGAGGATCTTATTGCTTTTATATGTCTGCATACCGAGATGCTATGACAAAGAATATAAAGACCGCAAATACTTCACAAATCTTATGAAAAAAATACAAAAACAAAAAACGAGCGAGATTGCATGCGAGTAAACAAAGATCTGGTACAAATTTCCCTAAAACAGTCAAATATAAACCCCCTAGTCGTTCAAAGCGTAACAACTTGAAAGGCTAACGGTTTTATTCGGTGGTGGTATAAACAGGTTACAACCGAACACTGTCAGGCTACCCCAGGCTACTCAGTCACTTCACTCACTGTCCATCACGAAATTGATAGAGTACAGCATTACCAGCATAGCACTAGCACTGTATATAGACAATCAGATTTGTGATCGAAGGCCGGTAGATTTATACATCTTAGAATTTTTACTAATATCAAATTCCTAAAGGTGTCCGGACACTAACTTAATTCAATGTACATTTCACAGCTGATTTCATTTTTTTAACGGCAAAAAACAATTTACTTGATAAGAATTTATAAGTACGAGACTTATTATGGCGTAGACGTAATTAGCGGATTGTTGATATTACTTCTTTGAACTCCAGTCCACATTGTGAATCGCGTTGTGCAACAAGTTTTATTGCATGACTTGACAAAATAGCTATTAATCTTTAACTAAAACATGTTTTTAGTTCTAGTTTAGGTGCCACTTTTGAGAATTTTGAGATGTTTTTGAGGCATTTATTCGTGCATCTTGCTTTCTTAATTGGGTTAGTGAAATAAAGACGACCAGTTTTTGCTGATTACAGAAAGATAATGCCTAAATGGTATTGGAACAGTAAGAAGAAGTAATCATGACGGGCTTTGCTCACCAAAAAAAATTATGCAAATTAGGCTAAGGGTAGATTGAATCTACCCATGGCTTATGATTAAGTGAAACGGGAGATCACAATTCGCGCCTTCATACGACTGAGGTGTTACTTTGGAATCCTCGGTAATTACTTTTTTCGCACTTGCCGGCATCCAAAAACACCCGGCGTGGGAATCACGAGACGTGTAAATAAGACATTTCTTGACATAATAAAAAGGTTTTCCAGATACGGACGCGCATTTGTTGGCTTTACTCGCGTGGAGACACACGTCAACTGTTACTTCTCACGCGAAATAGTATTCAAGGCATGGCTCTACTGTAAAAAAACCCCGCTCTTTATTGATCGCACAACCATAATTATAGCAGGCGATAGCAAGAGAAATGACTATCACTCGAATGGGATAATCGAAGATCAAGAACCAAACCTTAACGAGAGCGGGGTTTATATCTGTTACTAAAGAGAAATTGAAAATGAAACATAAACCTTTTGCCTACTCAGAAAATATTACGAGAAGCTAAGGTTTACCACCCGAGAAACATTTTAATGACGGCCTAAATCTATTCTTACGGGAGGAATGAAATTATTTGCAATTATGTCGATCGAACAGTATACTATCTTCTGTCTATTACTGTGTAGTCGGCTGGAACATTACACAAAACGGCGTCAGCAACGAGGTTCGATGTGATAAATTAAGTACATTTACTTACCTGTGATAAATTAACCCTGAGATTCTATTTTGCTAAAGTAATGCTTTGATTTATTTAACGTACGATAATTGACTCGGTTGTGTTTTACAAACACATTTTTTTGCAACCCAAGCTTCTTAATTAAGCCAGAGAAGGGAATTTTTTGTCGTCGATTTTCATTGACAAAATAATTTGTAACAACTAATAGACATGTGAGTGTTATAACTTTTCATTTGACGTTTTACAGTACGGATAGCTCGGTAACAAGCGACAAGATAATTTCATTTTTACATACATATAATAGCATCGTTTGAATGTAACGAATAATACTAATAATAAAAACATTTTGATGGTGTTATCATGATTTTGGTTAAACCAGTTTTGTCACATTGTGTCGCTGAAAGTTTATCTCATTACCCAAGCAATTATTGTAACTAAAGTAAATTCTATGTGAATTTCTGAAAGAAAACTAAAGCAAATCAGTGTACACTCCATCACCTTCTGCAAATTATAGCCCTGTGTCAAAGAAAAATAGTTTTAAATCACTCAATAATGATGTTGATAATAATAGCAATAAACAGTAATAATAATAATTCGAAACAGAACTAGTTTGTACAAAATGAAAATGATGAAAATTAGGTCCTGTCATCAGATAACAACAGTCCACAAATGAACTGACTACCCAAGAGAAACAGAACCAGTTAGTACAGAATGAAAATGATGAAAATTAGGTCCTGTCATCAGATAACAACAGCCCATAAACAACTGACTACCCAAGAGAAACAGAACCAGTTAGTACAAAATGAAAACTGTGATGAAAATTAGGTTCTGCCATCAGATAACAACAGCCCATAAATGAGCTGACTACCCAAGAGAAACAGAAATTAGGTTCTATCATCAGATAACAACAGTCCACAAATGAACTGACTACCCAAGAGAAACAGAACCAGTTAGTACAAAATGAAAATGATGAAAATTAGGTCCTGTCATCAGATAACAACAGTCCACAAATGAACTGACTACCCAAGAGAAACAGAACCAGTTAGTACAAAATGAAAACTGTGATGAACATTAGGTCCTGTCATCAGATAACAATAGCCCATAAATGAACTGACTACCCAAGAGAAACAGAACCAGTTAGTACAAAATGAAAATGATGAAAATTAGGTCCTGTCATCAGATAACAACAGCCCATAAATGAACTGACTACCCAAGAGAAACAGAACCAGTTAGTACAAAATGAAAACTGTGATGAAAATTAGGTCTTGTTATCAGACTACTCAAGAGAAACAGTACCAGTTAGTTTAAAATAATGATGATAAAAATTAGGTTTTGTCATCAGATAACAACAGCCCATAAATGAACTGACTACCCAAGAGAAACAAAACCAGTTAGTACAAAATAAGCATGATAAAAATTAGATTTTGTCATTAGATAACAAAAGCCCATAAATAAACTGACTACCGAAGAGAAACAGAATAATAAAGCTAAATGATTTCTTTAAATTGAAGTGACCAGAAAAGAGAAATACCTCCCTGTATTGGGAATAATTTGACTAAAAACAAACCTACCTCAAGTCTAATATCACTAATATGTAACTTAAGTCCGTAACAGAATTTACAAGGCCATCCGGTGGAATGATATTCTGGCGAAGAACATCAGTGATCAAACGAACGTGGAAGCGACGTACACAGTAGCTGGCATCATGTTGAATTCCACTTCGACATAGGCCGATTTGGCGGGTTCAAGTTCCCGCGTTGCCACGTCTTTCGTCAGGAAATCTCCTAAATATTTCATTTTTGGAGAAACCCGTCGACCGGACTCCACATATTTCTTTTTTGAGTGCATGCCAATGCTATTGGGGGTTGTAACCCTCGACAGACTCGAAATGGGAAACGAAGACTCATACCGTCGACGGTCGCCTTCACTTCAAATGGTTTCGAAATCAAAACCACAGCGCTTTTGAACTTTGAAAGTCTAAGGTAGAATATTAATTAATTAGTAAGAATTTAACTCGGTTACATCGCATGATCGCTGCCTGACCCTCAAAAACAAAAAAAATCGTACATGTACGCTGCCGGCCATTCATTTGAGCGGCACTGGAAACAAGTTTTTGCGGCGCTTTGTCACGCATTTCCACATGAAATACGGGTCGCTCCTTCAAAAATTTTATCAAAGTGACAAAGGAAATATAAAATGCTTTAACGTAATGTCTTTTAACCCTGGCGTACCCCGTCCAAATCACCGGCAGTTCGATCTGGATTTGTTTATCATGTAAACTACTTTCTACGGGTAGATGACGCGAGCTTTTATTTATAAGTTACATTTCGAATGATCAAAATCTTTTTCATTTTAAACAGAAAGGTCACGCCGCAATAAAACCGTTGCGTGGGATGCTGGCTCCTCGCCTTGCCTCGCGCTCAAATGACGCGTCTCTCGCGGATACTCGGTGTCTGGTTTACTTATTATGTTCCGGTCTTAATTAATTTTATGACACCAAGCAAACACCTTTCTATCGCGTACCAGGGCATCAATTTCCGGCGCCTGCTGAGATTTTTTTTCTTGAGCAAAGCTCCTCATGCCACGTCTTTCGTCAGGAAATCTCCTAAATATTTCATTTCTGGAGAAACCCGTCGGACGGACTCCACATATTTCTTTTTCGAGTGCGTGCCAATGCTTTTGGGGGTTGTAACCCTCGACAGACTCGAAATGGGAAACGAAGACTCATACCGTCGACGGTCGCCTTCACTTCAAATGGTTTCGAAATCAAAACCACAGCGCTTTTGAACTTTGAAAGTCTAAGGTAGAATATTAATTAATTAGTAAGAATTTAACTCGGTTACATCGCATGATCGCTGCCTGACCCTCAAAAACAAAAAAATCGTACATGTACGCTGCCGTCTATTCATTTGAGCGGCACTGGAAACAAGTATTTAATATTTCCACATGAAATATGGGTCGCTCCTTAAAAAATTTTATCAAAGTGACAAAGGAAACATAAAATGCTTTAACGTAATGTCTTTTAAGCCTGGCGTGCCCTGTCCAAATCACCGGCAGTCCGATCTGGATTTGTTTATCGGTTTTACAGACCAGCAGTAAGTCTAAATTCATGTGAATTACTTTCTACGGGTAGATGAAGCGAGCGTTTATTTTTAAGAAGATACATTTCGAATGATCAAAATCTTTTTCATTTTAAACAGAAAGGTTACGCCACAAAAAAACCGTTGCGTGGGATGCTGGCTCCTCGCCTCTTGTCTCGCGCTCAAATGACGCGTCTCTCGCGGATTCTTGGCATCTGGTTTACTTATTATGTTCCGGTCTTAATTAATTTTATGACACTAAGCAAACACCTTTCTATTGCGTACCAGGGCAACAATTTACGGCGCCTGCTGAGATTTTTTTTCTTGAGCAAAGCTCCTCATGGCTTCCAAATGAGTGCAATAGTCTAGGATTTGATGACCCGAAGTACTTTTAAACGATCGTTAAAAAACCTGTAAAAGGGCATCTAAAATTTGCATATTTTAGCCGCTAACGGTCGTCCAGCAATGAAATGCTGGGAATGGCAGTAAAATAAACAATTTCCTCATTGTAACTGCAGTTTCGTTATTAGGATGGATAGCAGTGTTGATGATAAAAATATGAGGCAAACGTTTTAGCGAGTCCAAAATCGAGTGGAACGCTTTTAGGGAGACTGCCTCTTAACTGTTGAACATGCTTACTTTTTGTCTTATTTTGTTAAAAAAATTAAATACTGTTAAAATTTGGTTAAGTTGTTTTAAAAAGTGGGGGTAACAAATTGTAAGTTGTGTACTAACTCATCAACAAATCTGCTAATAACTAGATTTTGTGCAAACCTAATAAATTCGAAATTTTAGGCTTGTTTTCAATCATCCATGTTGAACTTACGGGTATACTGCGTAGGATCTCAAAGTAGGGACATCGGTAAGATAAAAGAAGGAAACCTATTTAAAATAAGACGCACGCGATCTAGGAAAGGGGATAGCGGCGGGAAAAAAATATGGTCCTCTCTGTCCCTTCTCCCGCTGCACTACTATCTCGGAGCCTATATAACAGGTTACAAAAATCGAGGTGTTTCTCGAAATAAGGACGATGAAAGAAAAGATAAAAAATATATATATATTGGAAATATTAAAATAAGATCAAGTAAGGGGAATTTTGCGCAGCTCTAACAAATGTAAAGCAGACTTTGATAAGTCCCTTAATTATTGTCTCCGTTTTCTAGAAAACTTGATGCTTGCTTTTTCATAGTGTAGAACTTCTACCGCCAGTAACATGTATTTCTTGTGACGCAATAACAAAAGCTGTTTTTTTAATAACAAAACACGAACGGTTCATCAGTTACAGGTGGCAGGCCTATCTTTGAATGTGCGTTGCTATGGCAATATCCTATTGAATCAGGCAAACACTAGCATCAAAGTGGTTGGCGTGTGTGAAAAAGAACGAAGAACTCGAAACAATAAATACTGTTGCGACAAGGCAGTTTACTCGTTTAAATTCATTTATTGTCAGGAACGTTTAATGGATACGAATTTCCTCAGTTGAATGTTCCCATAGGTTAACAGGTCAGGTACTTTGTGTTGCCATAGTAATGTCCAAACAGAACAAGAAAAGCACTAGAAAGTGAGAAAGTTTCGGGGCCTCAGTTAACTTTCAGCACGAAAACTATAGACATTCATTGTCTTCACTATATGAGGTTAATTACTTCAACGAGCCGAACCCTAGATTAAATTCAGCTTACTGTAAACCTACAAAAGTTGGGATTAAATTTTCTTTGTTTCCCTTTCGCTTTGTTTCATGGATTCAAAAAGCAACGAATTTGACATACATGTCGATGCTTAGATGACATCGATATAATTAAGGACGCAATATACATTTTTATCTTTCGCACTCCCCCGTGGGTTTGCTCACTTGAGTATTTAGTGAGGTTTTGAGAGTAACGCTGTTTCATTTACCCAGAAATTTGCACAGATGCTACCGAATTTCAAGGCATTGTGCTGATATAGTCTAACTGGCGAAAGATTAGCCTAAAATAGGAATATTAAAACGTTTCTGTAACTTTTAAGGCAAGCCAAGTATGCAAACAAATAATAAGCAAATTCATGATATGACAAATGTGTTTTAAGAGCTGAACGCTTTTGTCGAAAAATATTTCAGTCGAGACCTTTGTCTGCAACTCCCCCCTCACTAACGTTTAGGACATCCGAACATAAATATATCGATTTCATCAAGTATGTTTGGGCATCAGCAGATGGTCAAATTAAAGGTTTATAACAGAAAGGTTTAACTTGGTCGTAAGACTTTTATAAGGTTTTTTTATTTATTTTTTTTTAATCCAAACTCATTAGCCTATTCCTTTGCATTTGAAGCACAACGTAATCCACTGCATTCAAGATTTTCCAAGCGAAGAGATAAATTTTGATTTACAAATGCTAACTTTCGAAACTAGCGAGAGTCAAAAGAAAATAATTACACAAACAAAACAAGAAGAAACTTTTTATTTTCTCCAGAAGGAACATTTTTGATTAATTAGATGTTTGATTTACCGGAATATAAAAGTGATGAAACTCTTTACTGGCGTTGAACTTGTCCGAGTTGTTAAACTTGTCCGATGGCAGGAGTTCGCAAAGAAGTTTGCCGTTGACATCAGGGAAGGCAGCCACATTGTAGGAAAAACATGAGGAATTTTCTAAACAGGCGTAGCCACAATCATTTTCGTTTTGAATAAGATTCCGTCCAATACTTGTGATATTCAGGTAGGAAAATTCACTTATCATGAAGTTGACGTAGAAAAAGTTGCCAATCGATCCTTGACTGAAAGCTGTAAGGAAAAAGTAAAAAAAAAAATGAAAGCTTTAGGAATGTACTGAAAATATGTTCCAAGGGACCCAGACTACTAAAAATACAGACTACACGAACACAGGTTGGAGTGTCACCTGTAGAAATACTTGGAAATGTAGCAAAGATCCCCATTACGACGACATAGTTTCTGAGAAGTAGTGGATAGCCTTCCATGTTTTTAGAGTAAGTCGCAGCGCAGTCGGCCACGGTCTTGTTCAAAAATTTACCTTTGTTTGAAGAAAGCTTCAGTTGTCTAGGTCTGAATGCGTTTGTTAGCTTCCTTGCTGTCAAAACAGACTGAAATTCGATCTTTTTATTGCATTGATAGACACGTGGTGTTGCACCTCTTTGACAAACTGCTATACTCTAAGTAAATTTTCAAAAAGGCTTCTATTTGACAAAATTAATTCCAACCAATTGAATACTGAAGACAGTTTTCAAACAATTTTTTAGGCAATTAAGCAAATTCCTTTCTTATTAGGTTCAGAGCCAAATTATTGGAAATTTGTTCTTTCCTTTTCTGAAAAGGGCTATCTTTCCACCCTATAGTCCAGTCTTTTGTGACGGTTTAGAATCTAACTTCGCCAAGTGTAGGTAATTATGCAAATCGAAAAAAAAAATGTTGACGTGTAAAATAATTTCATTAAATGGTCTGAATTTAGCTTAAAGTTGGAAATCATCTGTATAAAGGCTTGTTAATATTGATGATTCCTAAATGTCAATAAATAAATGATAGTTGTAGGGATATAGCTATCTAAAAACACGTACGTACGCATGTGCGTACTTGAAAAGGGTTAGTTAATAAAAGCAAAACCCAAGGTAACGACATGTTTACAGCAAAACCTTCACAACCTGTTAACCTCCCTGAGTTTCAAACTAAATCGTACATCAAAGGAAAAGAAACCAACAAAACAAAACAAAACAAAACAAACAAAAAATACAATGTGCTATTAGAAATCGAAAGGAACCGTTGTTACGTCTCGTTGCCATGGTAGCAAAACTTTTAGATCACAACAAACCTTGGTCCTTTAAACACGGCAGGAAAAAAAATGATATGTGTGAATTTTGGGGGAATGATTGCACTCATGATCAAGAACAGAACGGCAGCCCATCGGCTTTTTGTCAGTGGTTCGAAAATGAAAATGACCGTCAGGCTGTATCAAGAAAGATTGTTGAGATTCAGAAATTTTGCTTCCATGGTAACGTGGCGTTTCTCCTTTCTATAAGGAAGGGCACAATAAGAGTAGGAAACTAGAAGAAAGTGACAACGTGTACTGAGATTTAAATTTCCCGTGCAACATGGGCCGCCGACTAACTTAAAATTGCTTCTGCTTAGCAGTTTGGTTTAATAAGAAAGTCAAAAAATTCCAAAGGCGTATTTGATAGATGATGCTCCGTATAATCGGCTCCGTCCACAGGGGGATAATTTTGACATCCATTCATTATAAAGAGGGCATGTCTGTTGTCCTCTCATCCATGACTCCTTCCATCCTTTCTTCCTTGTTACAAATGGTCCACCTTATGAGGGGAACCTAATATCACTAAGTTTACAAGGCACCTATCAAAAAGGGTCCTGTAGCAGCTTTCCTATCCCTAAAAGCCAATTGGTTCGATACACTGACCGTGAAACAATGGGAAATAATCATAAACAATAATGTTTTATTGTTTTCTTTGACCAATGAGGAAACACCTTACGAGCAGCTCCCACATCACTGATCAAAACAGTGGTTCGCGAACGGCTGCAAGCAAATGTATGATGTCTCGTTAAAGTAACATCATCAGGATATTTGAAGAAAAAGTTAAATCGATGACAAAAACTTATAATGACATCTCTAACTTATATATAAACAAACGACATGCCAACCAGAAATATCCAGGGAACCCAAGTAAGCCGTGCGAGTGTAATTATTTTAGAAAACAACATCTGGCAGTAGATCAATGCCAATCAAGAGTGCATAAAACATAGCCTATTAAAGATCGGATCTACCTTTACAGCTTCATTGACTAACTTTTAATCTAAATGCTAGCCGCATTAAAAGTCATGAAAGCAGTACTGTCAGTTGCCAACAGTAGAAGGGGTCGATTTGTTGCCCCTCACACGGCAAAAGCAAGGTAACAACAGTATTCGCTGAGTGTACTTTTAAGCTTACCTCACAGAAACATCCTTCAGTCGACAAATCAAACGATCCAGGCTCCACAAAGTAATGCAACCAGTTGAATTTTAAAACTAAAAATACTTGTATCAGGGAACCTCGAGAGGCTGGTGGGAGGGAGAGTGGCCTTCATAAAATGATAGGGATAGGAGGGAGGGACAAAAAAAGGTAATTGTGTAACTGGGGAGGGCAGGTTTGAAAACATGTTCTCATATTAGAGCTAACTTATACTTAATCTCCTTTTGGTTGGAGAAAAATTTGAAGTCAGTCTCCTCACTTAATTAAAAAAGGAAGGGATGGGATCTGCATGGTAATGCTGAGAATTGGGTTGCTTAAATTTCATCCCATTTGTCGTTCCTCATGGTAGTAAAAAAAAAAATGGTGCTTGCTTAATTTCTGATCGGGGACCATCTACCGTGGTAGTATCTTCTATAGGGGCTGAGAGAGTTATATCCCCATCACCAATTCAGTTCGCCGGCATTTTTTTTGGTGTGTTTTCATTTACAAATTACTTTTAATATTTGTGTGAAGAAACGTAACCGGTTAGAGAAAGGCTGCGCTACCTAGAGCTGGTGTCTGTAAGTGTGTTTTCTTGATTACTGGATATAAACAGTGGAATCACCCTTTAGGACACTCCTATTAAAGGGACACCTCCATTCAGGGAACTCAAAATTGGTTCAAGAAAAAAGGAAAATTTTTATTTAAGTAATGTTTGAATCTGTTCCGTCTAATGAAGCGTCACCTCTATTCAGCGGAAATGTACACGTTTTCTGGGTCCCGAAAACTTTGTTTGACTTCCATTCAGGGAACACCTTAGCACTCAAAACATGACTTATCACAAAGAGGGTTGATAGCGGAGCTTTCGGGCGCGAAGCGCGCCAGCGGAACACCAGGGTAAGTAAATCTACCCATCCCAGAAAATTTGGTAATCACGTGACCCTACACCGCCCGTCCGTCCTCACCACAGGGAAACCGAGGGAAAGACTTCCTTTTTTTCATTTTAAGTCAGCAAAATTTCAAAAAGGCTCTTTAGGGCAAAGTGTTTCAACTAACTTTGCAAAAAATATTTATTTGGATTTCACTTTGACCTAAATATACAGTACAACATTGTTATCATTCTATTCTGTTTCTGTGCTGTAGGTAAAATCCATTCTTGAGTAAAAAAGCAGACAACACATTACAGTTGACATTTTGTGTTAAGTTTCTAATAATTGCAACTTATGGTGAATATTGTTTTCAACTGAGAAAAAGTTTACTTTGAAAATTCCTGCCACAGCCATACTCCAATGTCGGCCCCTTTTGCCTTGGCAAAAATCCGCTTTTTTTCCCAAGAGCTCAGCATTGTACAAGATATATTTTTTGGGACAAAACATAGGTACACAATGTTATGCTGAGTTAATAAACATACGATTAGCCTGTGGTACTAGTACTGTACTCTGGTTTGTTACTTTACAAGCACATACATGCACATCGTATAATTATGTCGCTGCAAATGCCATGAAAAGCTTTGCAAAACTGAACAAACTTGAACAACACACAAGTCTGACAAATGCACATATATCTACCACCAAAAATTACACTGCACTGTATTAATTTTAAAAAGAAGGGGAATTTGTGAAAGGGTCACTCTTTCACTATTTGCAGACATTGTATAAGTGCAACAACTTCAGTCTTCAAAACGAATCATTACATTTGATGTTAAGATTTATCATCTGTTCTCTCTTAATCATCATGTGTGGTTTACGGCAAACTGCCCGCGTGTACTAAAAGTAATATATATACAAAAATTAATCATCAGTTTTTCAGTGCACATAGTTTAAAAAAAGGGAGGAGGGGAGCTTGCATGGAAATAATTTTCTTGGCCACAAAATTAATGCACTTTCTCTGAACAAATCAGCCAAGTAAATTCTCAAATTCACACCATTCTCTTTCAATATGCCATTTAAATTTGATCAGCTGTATGTACAATCCTCGATTCTTTTTTTACCAATAATTTTTTTTTACAATACATGTATAAAACATTATTCCTATCAATCAGCAAGTCCAAAGCAAAGTTCGTTTCAATGTTTTGATAAAATTTAGTGGAAGCGAATAAAGTAGGAAGCTGTTCAGCAAAGCCCTGGCACAAGCTATTAAGCTATCAGCTGCCCCTCGCAGCCAGTAGGAAATTACGAGAACGCGCCAATGGTGATACGCCGCGATAAAAATTAAAAATTTCATGTTAAAAAAACTTTTTCAGTATGCTCAAAAAATCAAATATGTAGGTTAAGAAATTAAGAAATGCACATCACCTAGCAAGATTAAGCATATAAATGTTTTAAACCTCTTATAAAGGTACAAGATTGTTATGTAATTTACAAATGTGAGCTTAAATTGGTCGATATTGGGTAAAAGGGATATTTGGTTTGACAAATGAATGCTGTCATGTTGAAGTAATAGCATCAGGTTACAGCTTATTTGAAACAAAGTTAAATCGACCACAAAAAATTGAAGAAATCTTTAGCTTGTAAACATGTCCCACCAGAAATCATCAGCGATCGCAAGTAATCCGTGCTGGTATATTTTAGAAAACAACATCAATCACGGATCAGAGCCAATCTAGAGCACAAAAAACATAACCTAAGATCGGATCTACCTATACGGCTTCATTGGTTAACCTTTAAACTAAATACTAGCTGAATTAAAATCCATAAAAACAAAAACCAGCTGCCAACAGCAGGACGGTCGACTTCTTGCCGCCTAACACCACCTAAACAAGCCAGCATCGGTACTAGAGCTCACCTCACAGAAGCATCCTTCAGTGGACGAATCAAAAGATCCAGGCTCCACAAAGTAAAGCAACCAGTAGA